AACTGATTGCACATCTTGACCATTTTTTATCTTAAAGTTTCTTCAAATCTATTATTTTAATTCTTCTCACAGCAGTATGAGGAAAACAGAACGGCTTTATAAAAGCAGGTCAGGAAAAAAAGACAACAGGAGAGAAGAAAACCGCAGAGACACTAGGGTCTGTGTAGTTCAGAAATTATTAATCAAGCATAGCATTAGTTCAGGCAGTTCATGAAGTTAAGCTCAGCTGCAGTCCCAGCAGATCAGGTCATCCCAGTGCCAGCCTACATTAGGTGATGGTTTGGCTCATAAAATTCTACATATCCATTTGTGAAGTCTTATTTAGAGCACCGTATTTGAGTTGCTTTACATTGCCCATAGTTGCTTTGTTTTGCAAACCGCCTCTGCCACAGTTCCTCCTTTTCATGTAGCGTCTGCATTAATTCATTTCATCTCTGATGTCACTGATGTTCTGTTCTGTGCTGGGGGTTTTGTTTCTGCTCTGCCCTTCAGTTTTCCCCACAGGCTTACAGAAGGTCAGGAAGGTCTCACAGCAGATCCCTGCCAGCAAATGTTACTTACATCAGATAAAAACATCAGTCTCCTTTCTGGATAATTTTTGAAAACATGTCTTTTTTTTGTAATGCTTCCTCTTCTTTTCTGTGCAGGTACTGGTCTGATCTGGATGGATGATGTTGCATGCGCAGGGACAGAAGACAGTATTCACCAGTGTAAGTTTTCCGGTTGGGGCAAAACCAACTGTGGCCACGTCGAGGACGCTGGTGTGACCTGCACCGTCTGAACTTTCAGGATCCCAACACTGCTGCAGCTGCCAAGTATCACCCAAACGCTGCCTTAAACTTCAAGTGCTGAAAGCCCTGCCGTGTGCAGCAAGAGTGTCATATTAGTAGTATGCTGCCTACTTACCTATGAAAAAAGTGCCAACTCACCTGATGCATGAACTTAACCTGCAGCTTGGTTAAGTGTTCATGACTAAACATATCTATATGAGCCACGGGATTGAATCACAGTGCAGCTTTTGCCAACATAAAAGTTATGTTTTCATTAACTCTACAGTATGAGCTGAAGGATGATCACATGACAGGATGCTTCATGAGGCTGAACTAAAGGGCAAAGGTCAGCATTAACAGGAATGGAGGCTCACCACAGACCAAGTTTGCTGCTTTGACATCCACGAGAGGATTGTCGGATCTGACAACTTCATCTACATTTCCACTTACTAAAGAGCTGAAAAGGCATGCAATGGAACTGACAGGACAGTCTCTGAAGAACTGGTTTTCATATGCAGGCAGCTGCTCTTCACAGTATTATTTAGCAATGGCTTTTGCTCAGTATACCACAGTGTTGCCTTATTACACATTACAGCAATGCCCAAGTAGGTAACTGTTTGGTGGTTTGCAAACCAGGCGATGCCACAAAATCAAACTAATTGAACTTTTTCGTTGTTTCTTTTTTTTCTTTTATTTGAATGCAAACTAAAGTACTTTTTATATTCACCATTTCTCAACAAAGCATGCTTTTCTTTCAAATCTGTTTATACCATTCCATTTGTAAAGCAGCTGCAAAATGAAATTTTGAATTATTCTAAATTAAGTTTTGTTTACAGCATCCTGTAGATACCCCTCTTTCTGCACTTAGGGTCCAGTAAACGATCAGAAGTGCTCGTCACATAGTCAAAAAGTCTCTCCACTTTCATGCTTTTCCAGTGTATAGTTATTGAGGGCTGCGTCTGATTATTTCAGATCCATTGATCTATGACATTTACACTTGCTTGTGGCCATGACTGACTATGTGTGAGGAGATTTAAGTGGAGTTTAAGGCTTAAACCTTTTTGTATTTCTGTCACTTTTTATAGTCCTTAGTGATTAAAGCTCCATCAGGTACTAATAGTGATTTTTTTCTTTTTTTAAAGCTTAAGCATTCTATCAAATCTGCATTCTGGCAAAGATTTTTAGCTGATTCTTTGAGCTTAAGTATTCTTTTTAGCATCAGCATCATTTCCAGTTGCATGTTGGTAGCTATTTTTATCCAAAAAGCCCAACAAATGTTAAACCTAACAACAAAGAGTAAAACATAAATCAAACAAAACATTTCACAGCTACAAAGTCCTAAAATATTTCCTTCAGGAGTTTGTGAATACCAAAAAAAAAAGCTAAAATCAACACACAATTTGGATGCTGGACATTTACTCATCAGCTGAATGTTGCTCAGTAGTGGTTTGTGTAGCAAACAAATAAGCAATTTTGAAAGGCAATAATATACAAGCAGGATCTGTTTTTGAAATGCACAAAGTGCCAAAAAATGTGTTTGTTTCTTTCATGTGTGCATCCTTTAAACTGCAAATCACCAACCTGTGCTTACCATGGGCTTCTATATTTATGCAAAAATTATAATAATGTCATTAAATAACAACTTCTGGAAAGAGTTAACAGTCACTCCTGTTGACAGATGAAGTGATGATGAAGAAGAACAGATG